TACACAGGCACTAGCTTGTTTGGAGTTAACCATTCAAATGTTTGGTGTTGTAGGGTTTATTTATAAACACCCATATTCGAGGTTATGAGAACAGGTTGGCATTTCGTGAACAAATCTTGTTGAATTTACCGTTTATCCTTGTCTATCTTATCATCAGTCTGTATAATTCCATGGTTACCGGAGTTTTAAATAATTACGAAGCCACAGGTATTTGCGCAATGTTAATTAGGTAGATTACCTTGAAAAACATTGCTGCCGTATTTCTGATATAGTTTTGTGCAAATTTCTCAGTTTTTAATAACAATTAATTTATTTTACTATTTTTTCTGTACTCCTATAACAGCTCCAGACAACTCATCCAGAGGAATGACGCCAATTTTGAATCACCCTGTAGTGGTTGGTTTCTGTGCTAGTGCCTTGCATGTTAACAAGTGGTGGTTCAGAAGAAGGACTTAAAGTCGATACTGTTTATAAAACGATTACTGCTAAGAAAACAAACTAAAAATCGCAACCCCCAGATCCAAACGGAGTTGCAAGTTCAGACTTTTTCCCAGTATAAACAATGGATGCAGTGAGGCGAAATTTGAGTAAAATTCGAGCTTCGGCTGATTTTTCAGAAGCACTCAAAGTCGATGCTTCTGATACGACGGTTGAAAATCACTCAAGTTCGCTAACAAAAAATCGGAACTCCGAACCCAAAAGGAGGTGCCAGTCGAAACTTTTTCCCAGTATAAACAATGGGTGAAGGCTTCACTGGGGCCGAAATTTGAGCTTGGGCTGATTTTTCAGAGGCACTCAAACTCGACGTTGCTGATACAGTTGGAACTTACGCAAGCAATAAACATCCAGAACTCTGAATAAAAAAAAAGTCGGTCCATTGAGCCTACTTTGCACCCAAGTTTGTCACATTCAGTAGCTGCCTAGAAACCGCAAAGTGGCATTAAATTACGCGGTCAACAGCACACTTTTTCTAAAAATACCGAATTTATTTTTAACATTCTCGCAGACAGTGCGGCAGTCCTTCACTGTGCACTCTCTATTGTTTCATAGTGATAATGCACTTTTAATTACTTCCGAACCATTAACCAGTCCATGATCGATCAGGTAAGGCTTTTGAAGCCCCCCAATCAGCCACAAACGAAACCAAGAACGGTGAAAATTGAATATGCATTTTCTACAGAAGTTGCCCAATAAAAGTATCAATTCCGATGGTTCGTGTGATTTACGAGTCATTAATACGTCGGCAGAGCTCCCATCAGTTTCCTGGAAAACCGCGTGCAAAATATTATTGGCTACTTTAAATATCACCATACGTGTGTGTATGGTTGGATATCGGAAGCATGTTCCGCCCCCGTTCACGCCAAGTCGGAACGGGCTATTTTCACCCACATACAGAAGGTGTTCTAATAAAAAACATGCTTTGAAAAATTTAAGTAATAATAGTTTCCGGACTAGCTCGTGATTGCTAGTAGGTATAGTAGGCCCATTTTTGACATAGCAATGAAATTGCAGCCACACTTGCAGGCCTACAAGCGCTTAATCGCCGGTTATACATGTGAATTTGCGCAATGTTTTTTCAACAATTAAGGACACTGTGCCCAAGATAAAGAGCCAGTATGGGAATATTGTCCAACCATTCACTAGAAGCGAAAGAGTTTCATTTGCAGTGCATCTGGCGCATCTTTACCTTTCACGATAACGTTTATGAACTAGTTCCGCGTTCTTCGACTAACCGGGACAGTGGCAATGCATTGGACTTAGTTAATGGACTTGCAGTGCAAACCACCCGCACTGATTAATAATACTCTAATGGCCACCAGCTCTGAATTATCATGATCATCATCACCAAGGACAAATGCATCGCAATTTGCTACATTCTTTGGAACGTGTGGTGGCTTTGTTCGACTCGGAGCTAGTTAGCAACAGCCTTGGGGTTAATCTCAGTCATACTATTCCAATCTAGCATTTGCCAAGAATAAATCCAGGGTCATTACTAATCTGTTTTCAGTACACAAGGAAACAGCTCAGGTGACAAGCGGGGTTGAGTGTGGGAAAACACATTGCAAAGTTTCCAATCAACTGGACATTGGTTGGAAAGTTTGTCGGACAACTCATAGAAAAGGCGATTTTGATTCCCACTCTAATGGCACATTCTGCACGACTAATTCTTAAGAAAATTGCAATATTTTGTAGTCAACGTGTGCCAATTTGCCTTCAAATCCATTCTTAAAACACAGAGAGGATGATCGACGATCTTTATGAAAATCTGCTATTACTAAATACTCGGAAATTTTCTATGGACCACAAATATTTTCAGCAAAGAGACGTCGCCGATTATACAGGGTGATTCAAAATTGGAGTCATTCTTTTTAAGGGGAGATAGAGGCTCCCTCGGGGAGTACGAGAAAAATATTGAATTTTTTTTTTCGAAAATTTCTAGAAGATATTAACAGTTGAAGATCGAATTTCAACTTTGTTATTAAGCATTATTTTGAAATGGTTCCATGTTTAATTGGTAGCATATTGGAATACTTAAGCATTCAAAAAGACACATTACGATCTTTGCTTCAAATTACGAAAATTTTTGATATCAAAAAAGTTCTCTTCTACAATTTTTTTGTGAAAAGCCACAGCGGCAATGATGTTTTTTGTCATTAACAGATAGTTACAGGTGGATAACCATTGTCAATAATAACAATAATTTGTAAAACTGTGACACTTTGAATTTCCTTTCACGAATTTGCTGATATGCGATTAGTTCAGGGGAAATGCTACAGTAAGATAGCAGACCTGAAAGAACTCAAGCCAACAAAGGGCGAGGAGAGTGGTTCCAGGAAGATAGTGGACGATAGATATTCGGGTTCCAAGCACAGAGGAACACGTATTGGACATAACCGAATCAGGGCATTCCAGGGGCACTCAGAGCACAATAACTGACACTTTCCCAAGCACCAAATAAATACCGAGGAAGGGCTACATTCCTACCACGTTTGAACCATACACACAGCACAAGGAGATACAAATGGAGCAGGAGTTAATTAACTGAATACGAGAAGCTGCTTGATAAGAGTGGATAATAAGGAGATTACACAGGCACTAGGTTGTTTGGAGTTGACCATTGAAATGTGTGGTGTTGTAGAGTTTATTTATAAACACCCATATTCGAGGTTATGAGAACAGGTTGACATTTCGTCAACAAATCTTGTTGAATTTACCGTTTATCCTTGTCCATCTTATTGCCAGTCTGTATAATTCCATGGTTACCGAAGTTTTAAAAAATTACGAAGCCAAAGGTATTTGCGCAATGTTAATTAGGCAGATTACCTTGAAAAACATTGCTGCTGTATTTCTGATATAGTTATTTCCAAATGTCTTTGTTTTTATTAACCATTAATTTATTTGACTATTTTTTCTGTACTCCTATAACAGCGCCAGACGACACCTCCAGAGGAATGACGCCAATTTTGAATCACCCTGTATAAAAAACTGGCTCCTACTTCGATATTTTAATGTATGTATATTGTTGCACGTTTAGATCTGATTATTTTTGCTTAACAATTTGTAGGTATGTATATATCCCTAAGTCGATTTACGACATCTTAAATAATATCCTTTTTACAGCAGCTCCAAAAAATCTTCGATTATTCCGAAATTCGCGTCTGGCAGAAAATAGGCGCCTTAATGGGCGAAAAGTGATGGAAAACCGCATTTTCATAAAAAATACTACTAAGAAAAGTGGTTAGTAAACGAATATCTATAAGGTACGCCTAAATTTAACTTAAAACCAGAAGCCTGACAAACTAGAAAATATGCAAGGGATTATCCATAAGGTGTGATAAACTAGAAAATGAGCAAAATTTGCATAACATTGAAACTTACTTTTTGGTTTGTATTTGTCCATGACCATATTAACGTGGTCGTGCTTGTGCCACGCCATTGACGGAGAAGAAACCATAAAACGGGAGACCGGAAGCACCCCGTTAGAACCACTGCCTATCGGTGCATGGAGGGTTTTCACTCCACTTTAATCACCATAACATTGCCTTGTGGCACTAGGTAAACAATCCCGCGTGCTTTTTGGGGCCACTAACCTCACGCCGACGACGGTTCACAATTCCACCCGAAAGAAAGCTGATGATAGCGTCGGGTCGCCGACCACAATAAACGGCGCCCAAACGGCCGATGTCATCAATCGACAACTTCAATGAGGGCGAAAGACGAGCTAACATATTTGCATTTCGTCCATGCCGCCATTCGGGATGTAAACACGGCAAATGTCAAATCGGACCAAGCTTGGCTCGGATCGGTGCACTGCCCACCTTCCCTCTGTCGCGCCGAATAATGGGTCGGTCCGGGAACCACGACGGACGTAATACAAGGGTCAAAAACACCAAGCAAAACAATAACAAGGATAGGTCTAAATCGCGTTTCACCACGCACTTAATCCGGCTGGCTGCGATATGGGGCTCTACTGACCACCAGGGCTCCAAAGAGGGCCACACTAAACACACCGAAATATCACACGTGCGTCAAAACGAGCGATACATTTCGAGGCCACTTTCAATCGGTCGACTCGGAGGGGCTCCGCACTTATCACAGGCCATCGCTTTGGGGCTCCGCTGCTAAGACGATGTAACTATGCCGGACACTTCGCGCAAACCACAACATGGCAACCATAAACGATAATATTTAAGCCCCTATCACGACAATCAACTTTGTCCAATACAGACAGCGAACACCAAGTCCCATTCCAGTTCGGGGATGTTCGACTTGGAGAAATGTCGAATTCGAGTCGGGTCGTTGAGCATGCGCCCCACCACCACTTCGGGTCGCCCCATCTACAATGGAAGCAGGGCGGTAGGGTTATACAAGGGCGATTCAAAACAAATACGATCTCGGATTGTTTGGTTGGTATCACATTGCAAAAATGGTGGATATATGCAGGAAACAAGTTTCTTTCAAACGAAAAAAAAAATAATCCTGTTGTTTTTCGGCCATCCTTGCAAGGCCTAACATTTCATCAGGTGTAACCGAAACTCGTAAGCAAATGAGCTTTTACGATTTTAAATTTGAGAACGCAGCAGCATGTTTTTTTTAATGCTACTTATTTTCCGCATTCTCTAAAGTCTGCAACGACTTATGAATCGCGCAATTTGGAGTGTTTTTTGCGCCGAACCCCTAGGGCACGACACTGAATAGATTGATAAAGTGAAGAAGTTGCAGAAATGAAAAACGCATTTAATGGATTCTATAGATATATTAACTTAAATACCCTGTACAATGTGACTTGAACACGTAAATACAACAAAAAAATGATGAAATAAATGTATTAATAAAAATGGAAAACTTATCTGAAGATTCTAATTAGTAGCCTAGGAATAAAATTGAGGCAAATGGAAAAATAAAAAACACAATAATAAATAAATTATTTGCATCAATACGTCTAGAAAATCTTAGACTTATATAAGAACTCACTCCTAAGTGAATACTTCTTTAAAAACCGTCTTCGTTTCATACATTATTATATTATTTTTACTGCAGTTTGGAGTTTTTTCTTTTGTCTTCGTTAATTTTTCATGTCTGTTTTCTACTTGTTGCATCTCTAGTAACGGCACATGATCAAACGACGATTATTCAGAAAAAATGTGTGGCTTTCCCTGCTTTCTAAAACTTCTTCAAATAAAACATTTTTTTAAATATTGGGAGGATGGTAAGATGAGCAAATGAAAATTGCGCACTAAACACTCAACAGTCAATAAGAGAGAGGAAAAGAATATTGTTATTTCTGCAAGTCTTCGTCTTTAGAGCTCATCCACTATTGCCGCTAGACGAGATTAAAGCCACAAAACTTTGCTATTACCGGATTATCTGCAAGATAAGCCACATGTTGGTTGTTTCGCACTTTTATTTAGTTCTTGCCTAAATCTGATCCTGTAAAAAAACCGCGTTAATTTACGTAGTTTTTGCATATTCAAATTCAAATTCAAAATAATTTTTATTCATCACATACAAAAAAAAAATATATATTCAATATATGTTAACATAATCTGACAAATAATGGACCTCTCCACGATTTAAAAACCGATTCACAGTAATATTATCCTAAGATAAACCACTGCGCGGAGCAAGCCCAAGAGAAAAAATACAGAAATAGACCCCGGTCATGCGCAAGAGCCCCCCCGCAAGCCCCACAGACGAAATTCAAAACAATTTTATTACAATATTTATGACCAATAATAAAAGCGCAGGAATCTGATCAATTTAAAAGTATATACTATACGAACATGAGCACAACTTACAAAGATTGTTCTTGCAAGAGTTTAATCTTAATGTATTTAGAAAATTTAGGTAGTGAAAAGGACTTAATTTCATTTGAAATATTGTTCCACATTTGCGTTGCAATG